TTCAATGCAAGTATTTTTATTTAGCAGGCTCCTATTGGGTCAGCCCATAGAGCCTGCCCTCTCAACTGGAGCAATCAAGACAGGAGTGGGGATCTCATCCATTCTCAGAGCAAGGGAGAGAGAGATGTAGGAGGCAGAGTCCAATCAGTCTGGATCTAAATTCCAGAGAATTGAGCACTGGAATTTGGCACTCTATGCAGTCAGGCTATTAAGAGCTCAAGCTTTTGTATCTGTAAACCAGTACCACACCCTCTTCTTATGAGCTTCTTAACTCTGCACAGGTTGCTATTATCTCTTTGCTTCCGTTTGCCATCTGCACTATGGAAATAATAATATCTTCTTCATTGGAAACAAAGAGAAAATAAGACAAGAGCTGGGCACAGTGCTTGGTACATAGCATATGCTCAACAGATAGTGAGTACTGTTGATGAGGTGGTATAGAACCAGCCATTCCAGGAACCCAGGACCTTGGGGCACAAAGGACTTAGTCACACTTGATGGGACATCATGGAAGAAACTCTGTATGTTGAGAAAACTGCTGTGTCTCTCTCCTTCCTACCTTTTCAGGCAGGGGAACTTGGAAGACTGTCGGGCATTTCCCGTCCTGCTGCCTTCTACCCTCTCTGAATAGACAGCCCCTAAATCTTTCAAAATCCAAGATGGATATGTCAGGTCCCTAAAACTGGGTGGTGGAGAGAGTGCACTTGTCTGTCTTCCCTCTCAGAGCCCAGCAGGGACAGAAGTGGTCGTGTAGCAATGTTGTGTGAACAAGTGCCACACCTGGGAGTGCAGCCAGTGGTTCCAGGGAGCCCTCTCCCTCAGGTAATGGGGAGCAGGAAGAGACATCTCCTGTTTAGCACTGTGATGACAGACCAGAAGTCTCTCCTGGCCCTTTTGTGGCAGGTGGGCCCCTAGTGTGACCAGCTGTTACTATGCACAGGTCACAGAGTTTTTGAAAGTTTACAAGGTTTTAAAAGGTCAGGCGCTTTGGTGATAAAAGTTTTACAGACCAGTAAAAATTTACTACAGAAGATGGGAAACACAGCTGTAATGGAAAAGTCTGGAATCAGGAGTCTGGAGGATCTCAACTCCATCCTGACTAGCTGTGGGAATTCAGGCAAGTCAGGGAGGCTCTTCCGGCTCTGTGTTTTAACCTGGAAAATGGGAGCAAAAATAGGGGCAGGATGGTATGTGACAGCACCCATGACAGGGAGTCTTCCTCCCTGGGAGCCCACTGGGAGCACTGGGTACAAAGAGAAGGCCTGTGGGTGAGCCGTCTGGGAGCTTTTCATTACCCAGGCTGGCTCACTGCCATCTGTGAGTCTGCCTCCACTCCCTGGGAGGAGCCCAGCCGTCTGCAGGCAGAGCTCCAGAATCAAATTAGCGAGGTCTCCGCCATTCCCTCATCCCCACCGGCCAAAGCAAGTTCATCAAGGCCTCAAACTAATTCTTATCTTGTTTAAAAGGGGAAAAAGTGACTCCATGGTTTCATCTGAGGCAATTTACACCCTGCCACTGGCCACGGCTCCAACTCCCTCCTGTCTGTTGTGCCATCAAATCCATTAATAGGAAATTTCTTCAGGGGAAACTTGATTGTCTCTCATCAAAGAGGCACACAGGCAATACATCTCCATCGGAGGCTGTGGCCTGCCCGGCTCCCTCTAATCTTGTTACCTAAGGAGCTAATTCTCTAATGCACACACTGCATAGAAAACATCCTCTTCCCTCTTAACCCAATTGGACTGCCCCAGAGGATGCCAGGAGCTAATGCAGAAATGAAGGCTCAAGCCCAGGGGAGAGTCTCCAGGCTTTCTCATTGTCTCTTGATGGGTCTCAACCCATGCACATGGTGGGCTCCCACTCTACAGTGCAGAGGACCCTCTCTCTAGGGCGGCATGTGGAGAAGGGCAAGCGACACTCCCACTCCCTGGGCTCACAGTGCAGCCACCTCCTGCAGCTTTGCTTCATCCTTCCCCTTCCTCTTTCTCCTTTCATTTCTCTTTCTTTCTTCTTCCTCCTCACCATGTCCTCCTGTCTTTCTTTTCCTCTTCAGTATCTTGCCCACCTTTCCTTCTTGGCTTATTTCCTTTTCTTCTTACTTCTTTTTTTTCCCTTCTTCTTCTCCAGATCCCCCCAAGCTCTTTTATGTTGTTTTACCTTCTGTTTCTTCTTGCACTTTTCCCTCCTGCTGTAGTGTGACTCCTTTTGGAACAAGGTCAGTTCCTAATGGTTCTTCAGAGTCAGATCTGTGACTCCTCATGCCTTGGCTCTGTGGAAGGAGTGGCCCTCAGGCCACACCAGCCTCAGCTCAAAGTGAAAGGTAGAGAAGAGCTTCATGACTATGCACCATGACTCTAAAAGGTGCACACCAGAGCATTTGGGAGTCATGGTTAGGGTGTAGCAAGCAGTTAAGTATCTGTTCTCTAATGATGAAATGACTATCATGGTAACGCCAAGTGTCTGTTATAGCTAAAGGCCAAACCCTGGTACCTGGCCACATGAAGGGACTTCATCAACAAGTGGTATAAAGCCATATGCAGATTTCTTAATACATATGGACAAGAGAAGTTCCTAGAAATGCACAACAGATTTCTAAGTGGCATGGCCATAAGTCAATGTGATCAGGAGCCTAAAGGTCTTTTTTAGGCTCAAGGGTGCAGTTAGGAATCCAGTGCTCTGCCAAAGCTTAGGTCTCTTCAAGACCTCAACTTGGAGGTCCTGGAGGCAGTGTGGCTTTTTTTGCCTGGCCTGTTAAACATAGACTGTGAGCACCTTCATTCTGGGCATGTCTGGCTCTACACATTCCCTACAAGTTTGGGGTCTCCTATTTAACCACATGTCCTATTCTACCACCTTCTTCACCTCCATTCTCCAAAAGGAAATTCTTAGGGGCTGAGTTTCCTTATTTTTCTGACTTCTGCAGTGATGAAGCAAGTGATTTAGGATAGCCCAAGATCATGGGCTCAACCGAACTTTCCAGAGCTAGATCTTGGTGAATGGCTGTATGCAGGGACCCCATGAAGGTTTCATGCTATATGCAGGCTCCATAATGCACAAGAGTAAGAAAAGGACTCAGCCCTGACCAAAGTAGTTTGTTTATTTATTTGTTTATTTATTTTTGGTACCGGGGATCAAACTCGGGTCCTTGCGCTTGCGAGGCAGGCGGTGGAATCACTGAGCTAAATCCCCAGCCACAGTAGTTTATTTTTTAAACTTAATCACAATACAGACTTCCTACAGTATTCCCAATCTATTGCTTACTTGCATTCAACTGGAAAAGGAATGAAATATTTTATTGCTGAAGCTTGCCATAATTAATACAGATGCATCTTGGCTTCAATACAGTCGAGGTAGAAAATTCCACACATTACCTACATGGAGAATTGGGGTAGGGGTCTTTCAAACAGAAACTTACATCAGTGCTTTCCTCAGACAATTTTTGGGCACACAGTTGAGTATCTGAGGGATAGGTACTGGCCAGTTAAACTTACAAGAGAAAATAAACAATTCTTTCAAGAGAACCACAATTTGCTGGATGTGGTGGCGCATTCCTATAATCCCAGCACTCAAGAGACTGAGGCAGGAGGATCACTGTGGATTTGAAGCCAGTTTGGACTACAAACTGAGTTCAAGCCCTGCCTTAACTATGTGAGACTCTGTCTCAAAAAGCAAAAAGAAAAAGGAAAAGGAAGAAAGAATAAGAAAGCCACATTTAAAAGGAAGTTGTTGGGCTGGGGATTTAGCTCAGGGGTTTCGCCGCCTGCTGCACAAGCACAAGGACCCGAGTTCGATCCTCGGTACCAAAAAAAAAAAAAAAGGAAGTTGTTAAAAATATTGGTGATATGATATTATGCAAGAAAGGGAGGAAGGATATGAAAGTATTTATATTGCATATTTACTTAATTGTACATATAATGGAGAGGGAAATATAGAAGAATATACACTGAAATAATAGCAATGCCTGTCTCACCCTATCAAATTAATATTGTGGTTTTGATGTAAATACATGGGGATGGTGTGATTGAGAATAAGTGAGGACAAAGGTCAGTGCCATCACTTCAACTGTGGAATTCAAAAAGGCTTCTGTTGTCTGGGAAACCCTTCCAGGTAATAAGTAGGGAAGAGATAAGATCTGGCCTTTTAAAAACTTTACTTTAGGTTGGAATACACACACAAAAAAAGGACACGAGTCGTGTGTGTATAACGCAATGAATTTTCACAAAATAAACAATGACTGTCTCTGGGCAGTAAACTACAGACGGTTTTACTTGTTCATGATTTTTAACAATAAGCATGTATTACTATTATATTTTTACTACATATATTTACTAGATTTAGTAAAAATGTTTAAAAATATGTAAGTGTTAAATATGTATTTTTTCTCTATGTATTTTACTATTTAAACATGAATATTTTGATGAGGACAAAAGGTCAGACCTCTGTCAGCAGAGACGCCTGATCTCCTGTTTGCCTAGGGGGATTGTGTCACCCTGAGGAGTCAAAGGACCCAGGCTCCCCTCCGGCTAAGCCATCCCTCCAGCCCAGCCCAGTGCCACTGAAACACTTACCAAGGGACGTGAATGGAGCAGCAGCCTGGTGTCCCTAACAGTGGTCAGGCGGCACCCTTGCTCCCCAGACCCCTGCAGTCCCTGACCTAAAGTTACTTTTTAGGAAAACATGGCCAACCCACCTGGCTGGATGGCTGGACTGAGCTCCCACCACACGCCATGAGCCAGGGCGGGCTCCCCTTCTCATGGTTCCCTCCCCTTCCCTCCTTCCCTGAAACCTGATCCAGCTGAAGGACTGATTGCAGGAAAACTTGGCCGCTCCCCAACTCTGGGGGCCTACAGAGTGCCCGGCTGAAGTCTCAGAAGGTGCAGGCAGCAGCCGGGGAAGCAGGCTGGTTGGGCATGAGGCTGGCAGAGGGCACACAGGCTGGCCTTTAGCGGAGCCCACCTTGAGTGGCGCTCCCAGGCCCTCCCACACGTGGGACGCTCACCATGTCGCTGTGGCTCCAGCAGGCGCTGCTGGCCTTGCTCCTCCCCACATTGCTGGCACAGGGAGAAGGTAAGGAGCATGGGGGATATATCAGCTTGGCTTGGCAGAGCTGGGGGGTGGGGGCTCCATCCTCCCTGGGTTGAGGCAAAGTGCGTTCAGGGATATGTGGTTGCTGGAAGGTCTCTGCTCACCACATATGGGCATGAGGGTGTTTTGAGGTTGGAGACATTGAGTCTGGGGTAAGACAGCAGGACTTGCTAAGAGGGGAGCATGGCAGCAACCTTCATTATCAGAAACACAGAGAGCTGCCAGGAGAGGGGCACTTTTTCTCTTTGCCCAGTCCCTAAACTCATCAAATAGCAGCTGCAAAGGACCTGTGAGCTCATTTGTTTGGCCTTTTCCCGATGTAATGAGGTCCAGAGAAGGGAGTAATTCACTCGAGACCACACAGCTTCTCACTCTCCCCACAGCAGAGTGGGGACCAGAATTACTCTAGTCACCTTACCTCATCTTCACTGGTCTTAATTGCTGGGGTTCCCTGTGCCTCCCCACCTCCCTCCTGTCCTGACTCCATTGTAGACCGGTACTTTAGTCACAGAAGGGTCTGGTTCCTTCTGCTGCAGACCCTGTTCACCCTCCAAAAAAGTTTCTCCCCTGCACAGCTGGCTTGGAACCCCCAGGGCACATGAGAAGGATGCCACCCAGGGACTGGACAGATGTGCAAGGCCACGGGCAAGATGATGTTCTGTGAGCTGTCCTTGGGACAAGCTCAGTGGAGAGGGAGAAAATGTAAGCTGAAGCTTCAGGGGCTTCCTTGGCTGGGATACGCTCTGTCCTCCCAGCGGTGGCTCTTTGCTCTGTGGCCCACTTGGATCAGTCTGGTGCTGTCCAAAGCAGGTCAGAGTCTCAGTCATGAAGAGACATATGGGTCTGATTTCAAATCTCAGTTCCTGCACTGACCGCACTGTTCTCATCCCTCTGAGCCGTGGGGTTATTCTCTGCAAAGTGGGCTATTATGTCAGCAAACCCAGCAGGGTATTCTGAGACTGAAGAGTCTGTCAACCAATATTTTTCAAAAGAAGGCTCAAAAACTAGTCTCTCACCTTCCCTCTTTCCCTTTTTTGCTGGTCTCTGTTCTTCTGAGAAAGGCAGAGAGATTATCAGGGTAGATGGACAAGGCACAGAACAACCTGCAGGACTGACTTGTAAGGAGGGGACACAAGGGGCAAGGAGAGAGGAGGGCGTGTGGTGCTATTCGGTGGAAGCCAGGCCTAGCAGCTGAGCTGTGACTGGGCTTTCATATTGCTTTTATGTGCCTGTAGCCTCCTTTCCTGGGAGCAGTTTGGTTCCTCCTGGCTCCCTCCATACTTCCCCCAACCTCCTTCCCAACCTTCAGTTTTCACCTGCCACCCTAGGAAGAGGTCCTGGCGTACCTTCCACTGTAGCATGTGTGGCTTTGGCAGGATACAGAGAGAATGCCCATTTCTGGCAGACGCCCACCCTTTCTTCTTTCCTTGCTAGTTGCAGGCTGGGGTCAAGAAGAGGGTAACGAACTGTGTAGGTGCTGCTATCTGACTCTGGCAGAGGAAACCCTGGTGCAGAGCAGTGGGCTTAGACACTGTGCACTTGAGGCTGCACTTTCTTCCTGGCCCTCTTGCCTGTCAATGTCACACACAAGCCCATGGCCCACTTCCCTCTTGCTGCCAGAACCCCTTCCCTGTACCCCTTAGCCCACCTCCTCTCTATTTATGTGGCTCTCTCCTGTCTCCTGTCACCTGCCCTGACAAGCTGGCTCCCTGCTGCTCTGGAAGTGAAGGTGCAGGGAACCCTATGTGAACATCCATTGGAATTTTGGCAGGAGCCTCTACAGACGAAACTTTCTAGTGATGGAAATTTCAATTTGTGGGGGGACCTGGAATTTTGTGAGGCATGGATACATTTGTTTCAATAGCTTATGAAGCAGGGCAAGAGAACCAGGGGAGGACTTGGGCCTCTGATTTTCACTTTGAACTACTTTCCTCCCCAGCCAGGGGGAGGGGGACAGCCCAGGCTCACAGCTTCACCAGGCCGGCTCTGCAGAGGCTGTCCGACCACCTCCTTGCTGACTACAGGAAGGGCGTCCGGCCCGTGCGAGACTGGAGGAAACCCACCACCATCTCCATCGATGTCATCGTCTATGCCATCCTCAGTGTGGTGAGCACACAGCCCCAATCTGCTCCACTCACGCTAGCAGTGGACCTGTAGGGGTGGGAGAAGTCACCCTGCAAGCAGCACAGTGGGTATCACAAAGCCTTAGTCCCTGTGGCACCACAGCTGAGGGTGGGCTGCAGCAGCATCTGCATAGCTGCCTTTTCAAACCACAGACTGGAGTCATAGTGTGGCTTCTTTCCATATCCCAACACCAGCAGTCATCTCCTGCACTGGCTGCCCATACGTAGCATGATGGTAACCATCTCTGTGTGTTGGTGGGGTAGAGCGAAGACTGTCTTATTCATCTCTATGCCCTTAATGCCTTACACGAGTCTTCAGTACATGGCAGGTGTCACTAAACAGTGACAACAGATTACTGTCAACCAACAGATCAATTAACTAATCAATGCTTTCATCAATCACCTTAGTAGTATGGGGTGCACTGCATGGCAGAAGAGGACAGACACTGTACAGAGATGAGCAAGAAAGCAGCTGCGGAGATGCAGTGGCACTGTGCTGGAGTAGGGGAGGCAGGACCTGACCTCACAGGCTCCATTATGTCAACCTGCCCACCTGATAAGGGATGGAATCATTTCTGGAAAGCAGAGCTGCAAACTGGTTACCATGGTGCTTCAGAAAGGGAAACTAGCCCTTAAATGTTCACTTTATATGGTATTGTGCCTCTTGATTTCATACCAAGACACCCCACTACCCCCTCCTCTTTTTTTTTTTTTTGGTACCTAGGATTGAACTTAGGACCTTGTGCTTGCAAGGCCCTCGGCAGCACCATTGAGCTAAATCCCCACTCCCCCCCTTTATAAATAGACAGACCGTCCCCATTTAACGACCTACCAGTTTAATGACTGGACTTAGAACCAAAGCATGCCTCAATGTCTTTGCTTTCATTTACATAACTCTTACATGCAGTACTATAATGTATAACAGAACATAAAGCTACAGTACAGTACTGTGCCATACAATCAGCAAAAATTACAGTACTGTATAAACAAGGGGTACTGTACAGAAAAAAGATATTGTGGCTCTATAAACAAGATGTACAGAATGTACAAAAAAAAGATAAGTTGTAAGTCCGAGGAGCAGGTTGCAAGTCCAAACAGCGTGCCTCAGTTGTAAGTCCAAATAATAGTTAAACAGGTAGGTCATTAAATGAGAAATATCTGTAATTAAGTTATATCTAATTTAAAAATTACATATAACTTTATGTATAGCATATATCAGTGGTGGCAAACATATGGCATGTGTGTTTTTTTTTTTTAAGACAAAATATGTTAATGTATGAGTTGTTTTTTCTAAACTAAAACCTCAGTATTCAGATTTAATTGCAGTGTTGGTACTTTGAGAAAATAACTGGATTTGGGGTTACAGTTTGGGCACTCTTCTCTAAAAGGTTCGCCATTACTGGTATATATTATTCATACCATAATACAACATCTAAAATACAGAGACATATGAGAGAAGCTATATACTGTATATATACACACCTTTGAGTATAATATAATTATATAATAGATGAAAATAATAGAAGATTTTCATAATGTTTAATATGAATATTAAGTGTGACCCAGGACAATGGGTTACACTTAAGCAGCTTGTTTTGGGGGTGCTGTATTCAGGGCCACCTGCCTGAGCTCCCCTTTCTTTTCCAGGATGAGAAGAATCAGGTACTGACCACCTACATCTGGTACCGGCAGGTGAGTGGAGCAGCTCCCTACCCAGCCCACTTCTTGAATTAGGGACTTACCTCCTAGGAAGGGCTTTTCCATCTGAAGATGTCAGTAATTTCAGTGGTTCTCATAAACCACTGGGTTCACTGGGTTCACTGGGAAAGACTGGGGGAGAGGTTCAGAGGCACACTCAGTGTGAGATCCAGGAGTCGGGAATCTTCTCACCTCAGGAGAGAACAGAAGGAAGCTTAAAAATTGGTGGAGGGGAGCACCCCTCCCCTTTTGAAGTTCTTCACAGCATTCCAGGTAAGTGCCTGTCCAACTTCAGTTGAAGGATCACTTCTAGCACCCAGGAACTCACAAGGCAATAGTTTCACTTTCAATCAGTTCTAGTTGCTAGAAAGTTCTTTCTTCTATTAAGCCAAACTGGACAATAGTCATGTTGGGTAAGACAGGATGATTTCATCTACTGAGCCCTTAGGGCCTTGGCTGTATCTCCACTGGTCCAGCTTCTGATGAATACAGGTCTTGACTAAGCTATGGCTTTGGGTTTATGGGGGAGAGAAAGGCTGCTACCTATAGGCAGGTCCTTTCTAGCAGCTTCTGGGGTTGGGGAAAGAAATCCAAGCAGAAGGGAAAGGGATGTGGCTGAAGAGCAGGGGCAGGAGGATGAGGACAGCTCACAGAGGCCAAGCCAGGAGACCCAGCAGATACAGCTGGTGTACATGGGTCTCTGTGAAATCCTCTCCCGTAATCATGGGCACACTCCTCCAACTCCAGCGTCTCATGGGACAGGAAGTTGGGTAAAGGAAGAAGCCAGAGCATTGATCCCTTAATACAGAGCACACCCTACAGCTCCTTTTCCTGGAACATCTGGCCTAGGTCCCCTCTCTGGACCTCCAGGATCACCTGTGTGACTCAGCTGGTTGCAGTCAGCAGGGAGGGAAGGTCAATCCACTGTATACCAGCAACAGTGCTAAAAGACTGGAATTAGAGACACAACTAGACTGGGCCCTGGCTCACACTGAGCTCACAGACTAATGGAAGTAACAGGCACATGGACAGACCTTTAAAGTGCAGCACAACAGCTCCTCCAACACTCATGGGCACACAAAGGAGGCTCATATCACCCAGCTTGGGACCTGGGGGCCTGGGAGGTGTTTTGGAGAAGGGAGCGTGGATGCCTTGGCTCAGTGTAAAGGGGTGGAGGGGGAGGCACCATGGTAAAAGCCAGAGATTGCAGAGTGGGAGAAGGAACAGGTCCACAGAGGTGCAGAGGTTTCCATGGTGTTTAACTCCACAAGGCTAAAGTACAGAATTTACAGAAAGCCATGACCAAAAATGAGGCTAAAAGGATAGGTGGAGGACTTCATGGGCACATAAAGTTTAACTTTATCCTAAGAGCAATGGGGCATGACAGAAGAATTTTAAATGTACCATTCGGAATGGCCATTCTGGCATAAGAGTGGAGAATGCATTAATCAGAATGTAACAATGACCATCTCTGGGCCGGGGATTTAGCTCAGTGGCACTGCGCCTGCCTTGTAAGCACAAGGTCCTGAGTTCAATCCCCAGTACCAAAACAACAACAACAACAACCATCTCTGCTCTGTGAGGTGGGTATTATCCCTGTTTATGTGTATGCAGGCTCAGAACCAGGAAATTCGTTGTCCAAGGTTGTGAAGTTGGTAGGTAGCGTGTTCTAACATTAGGAATGGTTGCATGCCTTCCTGGGGTAGAGACTGCATCCATCCAGATTGTCATGCATGAAGGGAGAGGGTTAGGACAGAGCGAGGGGAGGGGAGTCTCAGCTACTGATGAGTGATTTGAGTGCTACTGACACCCATATTTTCATAAGAAGATGCCCATTTTTCTCCTGGGCATGAGGGCCAAAGCTGGCCGGAGCTGCAGGTGACCCTGAACCCATATGGAGAGGCCGCCTGTCACCATTCCCGCTCCTCTCCTAGTTCTGGGCTGATGAATTTCTCCAGTGGAACCCTGAGGACTTTGACAACATCACCAAGTTGTCCATTCCCACGGACAGCATCTGGGTCCCAGACATTCTCATCAACGAATTGTGAGTAATGTCACCAGAGCCTGGGTGGCTGGTTGGCTCAGGGGCTAGAGAAGCCAGGCACTGGGTAACAAGATTGTTGCAAGATTCTCACTTGCAGGCTGTAGATAAAGTTAGCTTGAATTCAGTCTTCTTTGTTTTTGCTTTTCTTTCCTTTTATAAAGCTTTTTTTTTTCTGTGCCTGATGTTGAAACTATGCACTTATTAGTCCAAGGGCCGACGTCATAGGGAAAGAAGCCAGTGAATGAATTCACACTGAGTTATAATAGCCTAATGGGGACAGCTGCATTTTTAAAGGGAACAGTTATGTTTTTGGAAGGAATAGAACACTGGTGGCAGCCGGTGCACCTGGCCACAGAAGAGATTTAGAGCTAAGGAACATGCTCAAACTTCCCAAGCCACACAAGTGCCTAACCAGCCCCAAATTGCATCTCCAATATGAAATGGATCCATCAGCCTTTATTCCCAACAACCAAACACGGTCCTATTTGGCCCCAGCCAAAAGACTTTGTCCCCATGCTGCAGGTTCATGCAGGGTGCTGCAGCTGGACTTCAGAATTCAAGGGCAGGTAAAATGTCTGGGAGAATGGATAGAAAGGGGATCATGACAAGTGGGTCCTCCCAGTACCCATAATATTGCCCAACTCTACAGGGTGCCACTGACTTTTTCCTAAGGGAGGGAACTGACCTTGGCCCTGCCCCTCAAGGTCCTGCCTAGCTCTGGCTAAAGGGATTCTGGGAAATTCATTCCTGACTAGATTCCTAATTTCAACAGTGAAGTGGTGTGAGTCCGGATTTCTCATCTCCTAGCCTGATCCCAAAGAAGGCTGAAGCCTAGGGCCCCAGCTCAGTTACTTCATGCCATTGTGACCACTCAGGAGAGCCTAGGGGTCTGGAATCTGCAAAAAAAAAAAAATGGGATGAAGTCTTCTTGGAAGTCTTACTGGACTTTCCTGAGTTTCCCTAATTCTTATCCATGCATTCTCTAGTTCTTCCTCTAGAGAGGATTATTTTAGTCTCACTTTCAAGGACTTCTAAGAAAAAGGAGCAAAGAAATGGCAAAGTCAGGACACAGAGTTCTGCTGTCTCCCCAAGCCTGCCTGCAACAACAGCGTTGGCAGTCAGGGAACCAGTGTCTGCCTGGCCCCGGAGCAGGGGCCATGTGACAGCCCAGGGCAGCTGGCCAAGGTTCCTGTGGCCCTGTGTCTTCGGGCTCCATGGATGCCTTCCTGCTCTTTGTGGCTAGGATGATAGGGGAATAAAGGAGACACATCCCTTACTGCTTGGAAAGTACCCCTGACCATGGCAGGCCACGAAGCCTAAGATAAGAACATTGGGAAATGCTCCAGGTTGTCTTGCTGTTTATAGCCTTCTGCTCGGAGACCTTCAAATGCCCAGGGCTGGGTCTCTCTTAAAACCCCTGACTGATCCCTCTTTCCTGGCCAGCGTGGATGTGGGGAAATCTCCGAGTATCCCATACGTTTATGTTCAGCATCAAGGTGAGGTACAGAACTACAAGCCCCTGCAGGTGGTGACTGCCTGTAGCCTCGACATCTATAACTTTCCCTTCGATGTACAGAACTGCTCGCTGACCTTCACCAGCTGGCTGCACAATAGTGAGTATGTGGGCTTTCGGGGCAGGGACAGAGCTGGGGGCTTCCAGGGGTACCTGAATGAGGACCACTCTGTAGGATATGTTCTCCCTTATTCAACTTATCACTTCATTTCTTTTCTTTCTTTTTGGCAGTGCTAGCGATCGAACCCAGGGCCTCACTCGTACTAAGCACACACTCTACCACTGAGCTACACTCCCAGCCCCAACTACTTATTTTCTTAATGTCACTGAGCCTCTGCTTCCTCGTTCTCCAAATGGGATCAATACTGCTGCCCTCACTGCCTCCCCCAGTTGTTCTCAGGAATAAACGAGACAGTGTGAACGGACTGCAAGGTGTTCAGTAAGGAATAGTTCTTTTCCAACATCCCAAACAGGATTGGGTGCTGAACGCATCTTGGACAGACACACCCACTTCCCTTGCCAAGCCACCCTTCTTGCCTGCTCAGGTGTCTGCATTAGCCTGCTACCTGGTCTCCCCTATTCATTCTTTTTTTTTCAATTAGTACATGTTTGCAATTTATACAGTTTACAATCATCTTATTCATTCTTGTCTCCCTCTAGCTCTTGCTCCTCACAGCAGCCAGTAAGCTCTTATCAAAATGCAAATCTGATTGAGTCACTTAAAATCCTCAATGGCTTCCCAGCAGTCCTGGGACTCAGTCCAAATCCTTGAGCTGGCCCTGCTGACAGTGTGCCACCCCAGCCTCCTCTGGCATATGCTCCTCTGAGCTCTGCTCCAGCCCCACTGCCTTCCCCTCTAGGCCCAGAGCTCCCTCTTATTTCCCTTTATGACATCCAGGTTCTTCCAAGCTATCTGCCTCCCTCCTCCACCTGCTGCTCCCAACCTACCTCCCGATCACACTCAGCCTGGTCAACCTCTCTATTCACCTCTGGACAGCTCCATATGTATTGGCTCCTAGGGGCAACCTTCTCATTCCCAGACTAGGCCATTGCTATTGTAAAATTTTAGAATCCCCCCTTTTCCCCCATCACTTCTAATCATACTTATCAGTACCTGTTGAGTGCCTGTTTCTCTCACAGATATAAACTTAGGAGACAGTGGGGATGTGATTTCTGGTCTGCCATTAGATACCTGCCATGGCGTCTGGCCCAAAGGAATGTTCTTGGCAAATTTTATTGAATGGGTGAGTGCCAGGGGCTCACTAGAGGGCAAGGACATCAGCACCGTCCATCTGCAAAAAGCAGCTCCATCTCTGTTCTACCTATGTGTTATATTAAAGTACAGTGATAATATGTAACTTTCTGAACCAAAAACCAAGCTACAGAGAAGGCCAAGGTATCTTTTGATCTCTACCCTCAATTTCAAGGTCTTCGCCAATAACTCCCTCCAGCAAGATTTAACTATTTCTATCAGTATAAACTTCATTTTGTATATTCTTCAGGCTCTTCTCTACACATTTATATCTACAAATTTATATCTATTTATGTATGCACACATATACATCATTATGGAAAGTACCAATTGCATATACTATTATATTCTACCATATAATTGTACATATATAGAGCTGCTATCCTATACATGAGGATTTTTCTTATTTTGTAATTTGCCTTCACGGACAGGTAGTTCTATCAGAGCAAAGGTGAAGAACGTTGAAATTATTTCCTAAAGGTTAATTCTAGTAGGCAAAACTTAAAATGGTTTTGGCAGGTGTGATGGTTTATTTGTTTCTTTGCACTGTGCTGTGTTCCCACCCATGACTTCCTTTGCCCTCCCTACAAACCCGTGAGATAAGCACACTGTGTAATGGTGCTTTGTTGTACAGCTAAGGAAACTGGGGCTGGAGAGTAAGGGCAGAGGCCTCAGGTCCAGGGTTGACATCAGGGTTTCTTGGTCGCTGTCCACCCTGTGCTCCACCTTCCTAGGGTCTGGCAGACTCAGAACAGTAGATGCCAAAACTGGCCTGATTTCTTTTGTCTCAGTCCAGGACATCAACATCTCCCTGTGGCGCTTGCCGGAGAAAGTGAAGTCTGACAAGAGCGTCTTCATGAATCAGGGCGAGTGGGAGTTGCTGGGGGTGCTGACCCAGTTTCTGGAGTTCTGTGACAGGGAAAGCAGGGGCTGCTATGCAGAAATGAAGTTCTATGTGAGTGGGAGAGGCTGGGAGGAACGTGGTGACAAAAAGTGCTAGACCTTCACACCCAGAGGGCTTAAGGAGCATGCTGGGAAGAACTTCCATAGCCCCTTTCCCAACCCCAGGGTCTCACACATCCCCTCCAGGATCACTTCAACAAAGCAGATGGGGAAACACAACTGAATTGTTTCTTACTTATCCCAGTCAGTCATAAGCCTCTGGATAGAAAGGCAGGGTATAGGGCCTGTCCATTTCCTTCTCTGAACAATCTGGGTCAGAAACTTCTTGAAGAGAGAGGGTGTGGGCTAAGGCTATGGTTTCTGGGTGCCGAGCTTGTCTGTTTCAGGCTTTCTCCAACATCCTCTCCTGGTCCCAGGTGGTCATCCGCCGGCGGCCCCTATTCTATGCAGTCAGCTTGCTGCTGCCCAGTATTTTCCTCATGATCATGGACATTGTGGGCTTCTACCTGCCCCCGGATAGTGGTGAGAGGGTCTCCTTCAAGATCACACTCCTCCTGGGCTACTCAGTCTTCTTGATCATTGTGTCCGACACACTGCCAGCCACTGCCATCGGCACTCCCCTCATCGGTAAGGTCTCCCCTGCGGGAAGGGCACACTCAGCCTGATGAGGACCCAGATCCTCCTGCCTCTTCTGTGTGTCTCCCTCCCATCCTCCAACACTGCCCGCATGGTACACAGGTGTCTATTTTGTGGTGTGCATGGCTCTTCTGGTGATAAGTTTGGCAGAGACCATCCTCATTGTGCGGCTGGTACACAAGCAAGACCTGCAACAGCCTGTTCCTCTCTGGCTGCGGCACCTGGTTCTAGAGAGAATCGCCCAACTACTCTGCCTAGGAGAGCAGTTAACCTCCCACAGGCCCCCACCCACCTTGCAAGCCACCAAGATTGAAGACTGCTCAGGTGAGAAAGGAAGGGGGAAGAGTCCCACGCAGAGGGGCCATTTCTGGTTTGGTTGCAGGGACACAGTAGGGAGTCTCTGAAAGGTACCAAGGATCCTGGGCAGGACCTGGGGACAGGGTGCAGTCTTGCATATGGCACCTCTCACCCAGCCTTATTGGGAGCAGGTAGATTTCTGCCAAAGGTGTCAATCTAGATCCTTGCTTTACTTTCCCATAAGCCCAGCTGTGGACAGAGAGGGTGGGAGCCTTGGAAGCTGAGCAGGTCAGGACCTGAGCCCCCTGGGCTGAGAGAGACCTCTGAGATGGACCCATAGTGAGGTCAAATGGGTGCTCTGTGGATAGTTATTTGCCTCCTGGGCTCATATGGTGAAATACTGGAGCTAGAGATTCTAAAACTCACCCATTCTAAGCAGCTCAGAGCCTGGGTCCCTCAGAATTTCATCTAAGGGTTAGAGACATGGGTTCAGAGCAACACTAAACACAAAGCTTATGCCTCCTGAATTGTCAGTGTTTGGTTGGCTAGTTTATTTGCTGAGCACTTTGTGCCAAGCATACGAAAAGCACTTTCTGTACATTATCACATTTTGCACTCATGAAAATCCAATGTGATTGTCATTCTTGGGTCTCAAATGAAGAAAGAGAAACAGAGAGAGATTAGATAGCCTGTCCGATGTTTCAGAACCAGGAACTGGAAGAAAAGTGATTGAATTCAGGCTCACCCAACTCTGGGATTGGGATTTTAATCTTTCCTCTCCACTCTGCTCCTTTTTGTCCTTCCTCCTGACTGAGTCCAGGCCTTCTACAAAGGCTTCTGGCCCATCTGAGACCATGAGCCAGTGAACTGATTTCACCTTGTGAAAGTCGCTATTTCTGAAGGTGTCCAGAAGGAATTGGAGTCATAGAGAGGAATTATCCCCTTCTGAGGAAAATGATACGGTGGAGAGAGCAGTGAACTAGGAGTACAAATACCTGGCCTAGGTGGTCTTTCCATTAAATGATGCACCAGCTTTGCTAATCACTTAGCCTCTCTGAGCTTCAACACCATCCTTGAAAAGTAGGAACAGGGCTGGGGATTTAGCTCAGCGGTTTCGCCACCTGCTGCGCAAGTGCAAGGACCCGAGTTTGATCCCTGGAACCAAAAAAAAAAAAAAAAAAAGTAGGAACAATTGGGCTGGGGATTTAGCTCAGTGGTGCTGCTCCCTGCCTCACAAGCACAAGGTTGTGAGTTCAATCCCTGGTACCAAAAAAAACCCCAAAACAAAAAACCCTTTATGAGGGCTGGGGATTTAGCTCAGTGGTTCCGCCGCCTGCCTCACAAGTGGAAGGACCCAAGTTCAATCCCTGGTACCAAAAAAAAAAAAAGTAGGGACAATTATCACTTCACTCTGACTCTCTCATTGAGCTATTAGAAGCTTCAAATGAAAGAGTAGATGTGGCCAGGGATGTAGTTCAGTGGCTCTGCGCCTCCTGGTACCCTCCCCACCAAAAAGAAAGAAAGAAAGAATAGCTGTCAGATTGCTGAGGAAATCCTATAGAATTTAAAAATGCACAAGAAGGCTAAACACTAATCTCATGATGCTGCTGACTTGTGGAAAGGTAAAGGATGTGACTCAGGTGGGGTGTACAATTACCCTCGATCATATTGGCTTTTAAAATAAGTTTAAATTGGATGGTGGCTATGCACATATGTGAGTTGTTCTAAATATGTCTCACATTGATCCTAACAAAAATTTCTGTGGCCTGTAGAAACATAAGGAACAATGTTCAGGCCAGCTCACTGGCCTCCCTCCCTTACCAAGGCCCTACCCTTCTTCCAGCCATGGGAAACCACTGCAGCCATTTGGGAGGACCCCAAGACTTGGAGAAGACCCCAAGGGGCAGAGGCAGTCCTCCTCCACCACCACAGGAGGCCTCCCTGGCTGTGCGTGGGCTGCTGCAGGAGCTGTCCTCCATCCGGCACTTCCTGGAGAAGCGGGATGAGATCCGGGAGGTGGCCCGGGACTGGCTGCGTGTGGGCTCTGTGCTGGACAAGCTGCTCTTCCGAGTCTACCTGCTGGCAGTGCTGACCTATAGCATCACCTTGGTCACACTCTGGTCTATCTGGCATTATTCCTGAGTGGGCACAGCACAGCAGTGCAAGGAACATGGAGCTGGTTACAATGGGTGTAGAGAATTTCTGCTGAGTCCTTCAGGGCCCTGAGGATGCTGGGAACATTCCCAATACACAGATCCAGCTGCATCCCTTATTTTCAATACCAGTTCACCTAAGTAATCCCAAGCCAGGTTTGAACCTCCCCCCAAAGCACAGTGTTCAGTACCCTTACATCTTCCCCCCACTCCCAAATGCCCATTATGGCTTTAAAACATGCTGTCTTAGATCATTCCCTATCCCGATTTTACTTATCTATGCATCAAGTCTCAGTTTTTCCATTGGCATTTCTCTGAATAAGGCACTTAAATTCTGCTCATTTCCACCAACCTTGTTTTTAAATAAAGACAAAACCAACTCTCTAATATTCAGACCTGAAAATTTTGCACTTGGCTTATTCAGACCCTAACATCTTCTTCACCTCACCTGTAGCTACTACCTGACATTCATGCTCCATCAGCTGGGGGCTGGGGGTAAATAATAAAATGCAATGAAGCCTTAAACTCTCTTCTTCACTCTTTGTCAGCAGTTTGGGGGAAAGGTTGGTGGGTGGAAGAAGTTTGAAGTTGCTAGCTGAAGTGAGGCTTGAAGATTATCCGTAGTTTTCAGGGACCTAGGCAGTGAAATGGTAGCTGTTATGAAAAAGGAACAATAGGATGTGGGATTTATGTCTGGTGTGAGAGTCAGGAGTGTGAACGCTTAGCAATGGAGAGGGGAGAGGAGGAAGCTCAAGTTCTGTGCTCTGTGGAAAGATTCCAGAAGGGCTCACACAGTTCTTTTATTGTTCTGGGGTCAGGGTCCCTCTGTGAAACTGGGAGCAAGCAAGCTTTCTCCCTGCAAGAGGATTCTGCGTTGGAGACAGGAACTTCAGCACCACGGCCAGCGCACACCAGTTTGGTGCTTAGAAAACAGCAAGAAAGTCAGGCCTTAGGTTTACCCTGGGGCATTCTCAGAGCCAGCCCCTGGCAGCCTACCAGGAAAAAAGAACCATAAAGGAGGTAGGGTTGGAATAATGTATTCTGATCTCACATCCTGGCCCTCTGTCCCCCACATCAGGGTTTAAGACAAGCTAAGGAACACTGTAACTCCATCACTCCACTCCACCCACCTAACAAGCATTCAGAGAAGAGAAATGCTAGGTCCCACAAAGGTGACCTGTTCGGGTGGCCACGATGCATAGATGAGGCTGTCTCAGCTCTCCAGTGCTCATTCCAGCTTCATCCTTCTCTGTCTTGGTCTGCCTGACACTCAGAAAGCATTGTGGAGGGGGATTGAATGAAGCCAGGTTAAAGGGAAAGGACCCCAAAAGAAAGTATATTGGAAGTAAATATATCCATTGCTTTTTCCACTGTTCTAGCTCGCCAATTATAAGAGATTCAGTAGGGAATATGTGAAATGGTATATTCCCCTAACCCCAAACCGTGCAAGTTTAGTTTATAAACCATTCTGGAGGCTGGACAGAGGGCAGAACTGTGGATACAACCCCTGGGTTCTTCATGTCTGATACAGCCTACAGGCTGAGGAACGACCTCACCTGGATCAGCTTCTCTCAGCTTCTCAGCCAAGGTTCCCCGGCGTGCAGGACTCAGTAATTATTTTTCCATTCTTTTCGGTACCAGGGATCGAACTCGGGTCCTTGAGCTTGTGCAGCAGGCGGTGAAACCACTGAGCTAAATCCCCAGCCCAGGACTCAGTAATTATTACCTGACTCTTCGTTCCTAAGTTGACCTGAGAATGAAGCTTCATCTGCCACCTCCACCCCAGACACATATGCTTTCGGTGTTACTTAGGGATTTTATATTTATTTTTGTTTTGTTGGTGGGTAGGATTCAGGGATGGTCCCCACTTACCATTGTTGCCTCTGGCTGAACAAGATTGGGTGAAAGACAGGGACTGTTCCTCTCTTCTTGCTCAAGGTGGCCCCTGCAGCCCATAGGTTGGAGTTTGGTTTTAGGATCAAAAGCTGCCCTATACCACTAGGCCCTGCTTGGGCCAGTCGCACTGTTAGGTGATTCTGATGTCTCAGGTCACAGGGATGGAAAGCTGGACAGTCTGGCACTGTCAATGCACCACTGGTCAGTAAGTGGGTGGCTATTGACAAAGTGTCCAGCCAGAGAGCTAGTGAGACACTAATCAACCTATTGATTCTCCATCTCCCCCTCCTTACCCTTCACCCACAATCAATGGGGTGACAGAGCCCAGCACTGAGGCAGCCAATTAACCACCCTGAGAATGAAGCACCACGTGTAACGTCTTCTGCTCCTCTAGCCACATCCAATCAGCTCATTGATCTGACATCTGGGCTGTGCTGCCCAAGGATGGGAAACTGAGGCTTAGGACAGAGAACACGCCAGTGCACTAACTCCTGTCCATCATTACTGATTTTGGTCTTCTCCCAAGGAGACCTTTGCTGTGTGAATGGAGTGAGCACACCCAGAATCCCCCTCGCATCTGGTACATCTCCTGGAACCTGTCCCTCTGTGCTTGCCATTTAGCCCACTGCCTCACATCCTGGGCTAAGCAGGGAGGACACTGGAAGCACTTGGGTTTCTATAAGTGCAGTTCTTTCTCATCTCATCTCTGTGGCAACCTTCTCTATGCACCTCCCCAATGCTCCCAATTCTCATCTCTTTTCCCCATCTGCCTCTTTCCAAAGCTATCATGTCTACTAAAAAGATTCCATCAAAGCTTTTAAAAATGCCGGCCGGACTCCCCCAGCCCTCCCTGGGCTCATGACTGCTGTTGGTGTCCTTACTCCTAATGGCTGGCAATCAGAACTCAAGTAAATCAGTGTGGCTCCCAGTAGTGAATGCTCAAAAGTCCAGGCAGGGAGCCCATGCTCAGAGGCAAGGGAAGGGGCTGGGGGGAGATTCTTTGAGAGACTTCAGAGGAGGAAAAGTTTCCTGGTCCGGTGAAGGAGGGGAAATGTGGTTCAGCATTCACAGGCCAGATTCTCCTTCCTCCCCTCCTCCCCCCAGCCTCTGAATCAATACATTTTGAATCTAATCTAATAACAGAGATTTAACGAGGGGATAATGTGTGTGGAGCCGGCAGGCTCTTTGTCTCTCCTTTCAAGCGGCAGCTGGGGCCCATTATCCGGGGACAATGCCCCATGCTAATCACTCCCTCTCCTGCCTTCCAGTGCTTGGAGAGGGGTGGTGGGCAAGAGAGGGCAGCTCCTCCCTTGATTGGAGGGGAGGAGAGGGGTATAAGTGGGGAGGAGGGGGTCCAGAAGGCTCTTGTCAGTCCTCACACAATTGTCCTGACCTGACACCCACTCACTGGCCTCCTCCCCCAGCCACACTGTACACTGACCAGCAAGAGGTCTGAGGAGCCCTACCAATGCACACAAACAGCAGATAATTAATTATCAGCTGCAGCCCTGTGCTGGAGTTGGTGTTGTGTGGGTTTTTTTCTTTTCCTACCTTGGTCCTCTATAATTTAAGGCTATCCCACTGAGGTGGTTATTGGCCAGCCCTGACTGTAGTGGCTGAAGAATGAAATCCTGGTTTTAGGGAGCAAGACTACTGCCCCCTGAAATAGATCCCTCCTCCATACCATCTTGCTCCTCCATTTGGAGTTGTGATGGTCAGACTGCAGAAAGAACTTCCTGATAATACTATTCCTAACAGGAATTAGATCAGGAGTCGGAGAAGGAAGGAATAAAATCCCATTTTCTGTGAACAGAACCTTCATCTCTCCAGCTTGGGAAGTGCCTCAGTTTCTTTAGGCACTCTAGTGAGGAGGAGCCCAGAGCCAGCATACCAGAAGCTTAGCCACTCCCATTCCTTTCTGAAACACATTTATTGGGAGACAATATAAGAGTGCTGCATGGAGTGGGAGACCTCAAATGTAAATTTGGTCCCATCACAGGCCAGCCCTGGAGCTGACTTGCGATGACCTCCCCTGTACCTCCTGGGAATGGACACTCAGCTTCTCAGCTGTAAAACAAGGAGCACATTAGAGCTTGGCTCACAGGTGCTGTGGGCACCGTGGCCCAGTGTGGAAACACCCAGGGAAGTCATGAGGCTGGGGTACAGAGGCCGAGCGGCACATCAGCCCTCCTCAGATCCCTCACATTGTGATTTGAATGGTGAGAACTACTCCCCAGTGGACACTGGGTGAGAGGCCTTTATGTTTCTTATTTATTTATTTGTTTATTTAGGCAGTACAGGAATTGAACCCAGGAGCACTCTACCACCGAGCTACATCCCTAGATTTTTTTCTGATTTTGAGACAGGATTTCTCTAAGTTGCCAAGGCTAGCCTCAAATTTTCATTCTTCCTGCCTCAGCCTCCCCAGTAGCTGGGATTACAGGCATGTGATATTGTCTCTGTCTTAGGGGTGAGCTGGACTCCCACCACAGAAACAGGGGGCATAAGTGCCTGTCCCACCAGGCTGCATCCAGCCCTCTGTGTCCTGCACCCTTGTGCACCTTTCTCTCCCACTGCTGCTCTCTCACCATCCATGCACATTCATAACTTCTTTGCATAGAATTCCTCTCTGAAGCCCCACTGCCACAGTTTGGGGGCCCATCTCAATCCTGGTTGGGTCTCGCCTATCAATGCTACCTCCTGTGCCCCTGTGTCTGAAAAGAAAACTAAACTCTTGGCAGAGAGGTGCACCATGAGTATGATATCTGGGACAATGGGATCCTGGAAATTCCCCCGTGTGTGCCCCGGAGAACCTCCCACTCAAAACTCAGAAGTATCTGTCCTAAGGCCCCTGGCAGATGTCAATCTTTGGCCAAGGGCAGCTGCAACCCTGCGTTCCAGATTCTTTCCACAAGGTGGCAGCAAAGTCCAGAAGTTCTATGGAGGGGTCTGCACGAACCATCTTATTGCCCCATTTCCCTGCTTGCCCTCTCTGCACCCTCATCCTTCTACAGCAGCCTCCTTCAAGACTGGCCCTTTGCTTTGGGCAAGTGCTGAGGATGTCATTCCAGGGTGCTTCATGCCCTTCCATGA